CCCCCCCCCCCCAAACAGGACCCTAAAGACGGAGGAAGGGTAGACAGGGAGGTCTCATCAGACTCCAGGCTCACAGCAGGTCTCAGGATGGGCCTTGTGAGCTGTCACCACCCACTCCCTCCCCACGTGGGGTCCCTGTAGAGGCCTGGAGACACCAGGCCGCCAGCTACCAGGGCTTGGATTTTCCAGCAGGAAACATGGAAGACTTCACTTCCACAAAGCGCAGTGAGGCAGAAGACAGAGCAGGGTCCCTGGACTGCACTGAGGCCCAATACTGCATGGTGAGAGGAACTGGGTGGGCCAGAGAACACACCTGACCAAGCACAGGCCGGAAGTGGAATCTGAGCCCAGATTTGGGGCTCCTGACCGCAGGTCCACAGCTCTACCATGCTGCCCTTGGAGTGCATGGGTGCATGCATAGCCTTCATCACACGACAGCACTACACTGAAGTTGGCATTCTGCTTGTTCCTTCTGCACCTGACGTGTGAAGTGCAGGGGCACGATTAGAGGGCCACGTCTGTGCCCAGCCGGCAGGGCCCACCCGACCCAGCCTCAGGGCCGAGGACCTGGCCCTCAGTGTGGAAGGAGATCCCAGAGCACAGCTAGGTTCTGAGCCTCACCTCAGTTCTAGTGCCACTTGGCATTTACATGGCAAACTTCCGTTCTGTTCATAAGTCAACATCGATTTTATGTTTATTCAATCTTTCAACAACTTGGCATGGTGGGAAGGACACAGGTCCTCATCTTACAAATGAGAAAACTAAACACAGGCAGGTGTTTGCTCTGAGTTCTGCCTTCCTGCTTTTCACCCAGTCTTTCCACTGGTCCACACAGCTTACTGCAAGACCCGTGCTCCTGACTCGCCAGGAAGACAGAGAGAACAGGCTCCCAGCGGCAGGGTCACGGGGTCACCCAGCCTGTAACCCTGACAAGCTGGGGTGCTGGGGGTCCAAGAGTCCTCCCGCTGTGGGCTTGTTCAGAGAGGAGAGCACCCTTCTTAGGAGGAGATGTCCCAGACTTCCCGCTCACCTTGAAAAGCATGAAACCTGCTCAGAAATGGAAGAAAAAAATTCAGTTCATATTCCCTCCTAAAAATGCTGCAGGAATGTTTGACTTATTTGGAAGCAGTTTATGAAAGCAGCAAGGTGTTAGTTTAAAATGGTTTGCGTGCCCCTTTGAATGTGCCAGCTGTGACCCTTCACTGCACAGAAACACAGCCTACAGACACGCGACACAGGGCCTGTCAACGTCGGCCACACCCGCATGGCTTACTTGCTGGCAATGTGGGAGGCAGCAGCACTGCAGCTGGAAGAGCAGAGCCACCAGGGTGACAGCTCCCCCTGCCTGGCCTGCCCTGTCCCCCTCGCACCTCATCTGCCAACACTGACCTTCCAAGCCAGACCCCCAGGGCACTGGCCTGAGCCAGGTGGGGACACCCCGGCAGGGGAGGTGCTGGCCCAGCTGGGGCACCTCAGACCTTGCCAACTCTCCAGGTGCTTCGAGCTCCCTGACTCAGAAGAGCTAGTGTTTTGAGCCTCTACCTCCCTCTGACCAAAGGAGAATTCTGCACAACTGAAGCTGTCACCTGCTGGGTATGTGTGCATGTGACTGATGGGTGCGTAATGCTGCTAGCATTTACAAATACAGTTGGCCCTCTGGATCCACAATTCCATGTCCACAGATTCAACCAAACATAGACTGAAAACAGTCAAGAAAAAAATATATCTGTACTGAACATGTACACTTTTTACTTCCCTAAACAAACAGTATAGCAACCGTGTACACAGCATTTACACTGTTATTATGACAGGATGTTGTATCATAGGTATAAGAGTACAGTATAAGCCAAAGAGAACTTGAAGAACAAGAGAGGAATGGCACGTTGTATAGTAATGCCACACACTTTCAGATGAGGGACTTGAGCACCTGTGGAATTTGAAAAGTTCTGAACCTAAGCCCTGTGGGAGACTAAGGGATGACCATACACACTTTGCAATACAGAATTCAAGCAAGTAGGCCTGTTCTGGAAACATGGCCCTTTAAATGCTGTTGAGGGTCTTTAAAAAATCAGTTTATAAAAAAAAGAAAAAAAAAGAAAAAAATCAGTTCTAGAATGAATTTGATCAGAGGTCTACCCTGCTGTGCTTCCCAGTTTAGTTAAGCTGGCCCTGTTCTATTTAGAACATTGAAAAAAAAACGATGCTTTTTATTAACTTATGGCTTCACCTCTCCTTCCAGCAACACTGGGCTGACACAGATTGGAAGCCTTCGCGAAGAGGCGTGGAAGAGCCGGACAGGCCACCCGCTCCTTATCACACAGATGCAGCTGTCTCCTGGCCGTGGCGGAAGAACAGTATACTGGCCCAGTCAGCCACTCAGACTAGGAGCATCTCAAAGAGACAATCTATCCCATTTGCCACAGGGCCGGGGGGCGTATTCAACAGTCTCCCCACACAAGGAAGGAAAAAGATCTTCTACATGGGACTGCAAGGAACTCTCTGCCTCTGTGTTGTCACGGGTAAACAATTCGAACTCCACCAGGGACTTGGGTCACCTTACACCGGTGGCTGGGTTCACAGCATGGATCTCCTGGGTGAAGAAGGTCGGGCCCTGCTTGGTGTAAACTGGAAATGCCCTAAAGCAGTGGTGGTAAAACTGGCACGCAGGCTGCAGCTGTCTGCTATCACAGAAAGCTCTAGAAGGTTTGCCATCACTGCCCTGTGGCCTCTGCAAGACTTGGCCCTCCTGAGCCTACCGGTATGCCTAGGATCCTGTGGCCTCGATGCTTGGCTGGGAGGTAGGTGTCCTTCCCTACATGTCTCTGTCTGATTTGCAGGGCTGTGGATTTGGGCAGCATAGCTGCAGGAGACTTAGCCTAAGTCTCTGCTTGGGAAATGTTGGCTCCTGGGGAAACTCGGGGTCTGGCTTCGCCTTCCCTCCATAGCTTTGACATATCTACCTCCAGGTCCCCACCAGCAGCTCTACAGATGGCTGGGGGGAGTTTCCTTCCAGAAAGATGCCACTGGGCGATAAAATAGGGGAAGTCTTGTCCCGCCCAAGTTTGCATGCTGTTACACAGTAGAAACCCATCCCGCTTTATTTTAGTCCCGCCTCCCACGCATGCGCAGCTACCTACCTTGGGGTTGGTTCGCTGCTGCAGCCTCCTCTCTTCCCGCTCTCTCTGCAGCCGCTCGAACTCTTCTCTGATCTCGGCCGGAGTTCTCCTCCTCTCCACCACCTGCGGGAGAACCGAAGCGATGGCTGAGGACCCAGGAAGCGAGGAAAACACATGAAGTGCCGAGGGCGCCTCTCCTGGGGCCTGGAGAGGCAGCCTTCGGCCCTTCCCACCTCCGCTTCCCTGGCACTCGGGATCCTTCCAGCGAGAATCCCACAGCCTCAACTTCCCAGGGAGCCCAGGTCCCAGCAGGAACAGTCAAGAGGTACCACCAATGCCGCGGTGCCCGAGACTTGTAGGACCCTTCCCCACACGGTGACAGGCCCCTCAGCACAGCCATGCCACGACGCAGGTCTCAGCCCAATGCCTCCTAGGGACGGAACAGCAGGCTCTGTATAAGGCGGGCGGGGTGCGCAATGACGCCGCGGCACCCATCTTAGCTCAGGGGAGGAAGAAACCAGCGGAGACTGGCACAAGGTGGGGGTGGGAGGCAGAGAAGGCAGGCTCAGAGCCCCGAAAAACAGCACAGATGGATGGAAAAGGGTCTACGCTTCCTCTACCGTGAGCAGCCAAGAGGTGGGTAAGGACAAGGGCCCAAAGTATGTTCCCCGTGTGGGAGAAATACAGGCAGTTGTGAGACGCAGCTGAGAGCGCTTCTAAAGTGACGGCCGGTACTGGAAAAAGCTATTGGGAAATTCCAGAATCAATACATGCAAAAACCCAAACAAAACAAATCATGATAAACAAGCACCAATAAAAACAGTACGGAAAGGGCTGGGGATTTAGCTCAGTGGTTTCCCCGCCTGCTGCGAAAGCGCAAGGACCCGAATTCGATCCCTGGTACGGGAAAAAAAACCAAACAAACCAAACAAAAAAACAGTACAGAAAGATTCTGCTTTCCCCACCTTCCCTCTTCTTGCAGGTTAGCATTTTTGGTCTCTTTCCTAAAAACCTTCTTTGCATGTATGTTTGCATGTATAGGTGTACCTAAATATTTTAACATGTACTCATAACATAAGCTTTTTACAACTTGATTGTAATTTTTTTTTTCCCGGTACCGGGGATCGAACTCAGGACCTTGTGCTTTTGAGGCAGGCGCAGCAACACTGAGCTAAATCCCTGGCCCAACTTGATTTTAATTTTAACAACAGAAAAACAGACAACTGCCTATCTAAAAAAAAAAAAAAAAAAAGACCAGAAGGTAAATAGAAAAAGAAAAGAGAACAATATTTTCCCCTCAGATAAAATATAAATCAATAATTATTAAAAAGGAATCGACTCTTTTTAATGTAGCTTTAAAATGATAAAGTTTGGGGCTGGGGATTTAGCTCAGTGGCACTGCACCTGCCTCTCAAGTTCGAGGTCCTGAGTTTGATCCCGGGACCGGGTACCAAAAAAAAAAAAAGATAAAGCACATTACAATTACCCAGCAGAAATGAAAAGTCCTGGAAGGCATGAAAGTGACTGCCACCCACGCCATGAGAAATCCCTGTCACATCATGCTTCCCAGGCAGGCTGGCTCCCGCCCGCCCTGGCTCACTCGGGAGCATTTCGGGCGGCCACCGGCAAGCTCACTGCCTCTAGTCAGAAGCCAGGCATGACTTTGAGGGTTCCCAAACCTTCCCAGCCTCCTGTCAGCCTCTCCTTCATCCAAAGAAAAGAAAAACAAAAGCTCTTTGGAGGAATGCAGGTAATCAGGTATTCCACTTAACTTTGAAGATCCATGAGAAAACGACTTATATTTTGAAAATCGCTGGTGACTGGAAACCTCAGCAGACTCCTCCAGTCTCTGCCATGGCACCCTGAGTGACCCCTTACTAAGGACGAGTGTGTCAGGTGCAAGACTCAGTTCTGGAGGGGAAGTGGGTCCTCAATGTAGCCCTGAGTCAGCAGGCTCCTCTGACCTGGATGAAAGGCTCCATAATCGGGTGTTATGAACAGAATCTGGGTTTTAAAAATGCAGATTCAACAAAAGTTTGGCACTGGGCATGGTGGTGCATGCCAGTTCTCCCAACTGGGGAGGCTGAGGCAGGAGAAGGACTGTCACGAGGCCAGTGTGGATTACATAGCAAGGTCCTGTCTCAAAAACAAAAAGCCAAAAACCCAACCCCCTCTACGACTCCCAGAAACAAAACAAAACACGAAGTTTGCTCACTCATAGCTTTAACCGCAACACAGAGCCCATGACTGTGCCTACGTACTGTTCTTCTCACAGACCAGTGTGTGAGATTGCAGGCATTTAAATCCTGGGCTCAAACCCTGCAGGAAATTAAATCAAAACAAAACGAACCTGGACAGTGTCAGGTCCCACAGAGGGCAAGGCAGGGAAAGATGGGCGTTTAGGGACTCTAGTCATTTAAGCTTCGGAGACTGAGTCAACAGCTGCAAATGATTGCCTCTCTGCTGTACACTGAGCTAAGCTACAGGGAAAAATGGTCCAAAGGTGCCAGATTGTTCGCTTTCTCAGTATGTTTTACACAATTTTGCGAGGTGCTGCATGCCTGGTGCTAAGCACTAAGGCCACATGGCTGGGCGGGCACCTCACTCGGAGTCCTCTGCCACAGGGTGATGGAGCACACGACACTGGAGACTGGGCCAGGACTCAGGCACCTGGGAGTCGCTGTCCCTGAGCTCAGCAGCGCTCACAGAGAGCACCCAGGAGCGTGCAGCCTGTAAGTACCAGGCCTGGTCACCACCTCTCAGGAACAGAGTCACGAGCTTGGAGTCCACACCAGCGCCCTGCTCACCTGGACCACCAACGAGAGGCCCACCCTGTGTGGCCTGAAGACCAACCCTATGGAGGGGAATAAGAACATCGGCACAGGCAAGTGGCAAACAGAGCAGACGCCTAGGCTGTGCATCTGACATGGGGCTCACTCCTGGGGACCTCCGGCAAGTCACCTCTAGGCTTCAGCTCTCTGCTACCAAATGAGGACAGACCATACAATTCCCAAGGGGCCGCCTGGGTTCAAAATTCTATGATTTTACTCAGTCAACTTTTTGTTTTGTTTTTTTTTTGGTACTGGGGATCGAACTCGGGACCTTGAGCTTGCAAGGCAGGCAGTGGAACCACTGAGCTAAATCCCTGGCCCTCAGTCAACTTTTTATTTGGGGACAGTTTCACATATTCAGTTAGAACTTTCTCATATACCAGCCACCCAGCTTCCCTAATGTTACATCTTACCTAACCACAGAGCACCAGTGAGAGCTAAGAGGGCAACACGAGTTTATTTCTGTCAACTAAACCCAGACTTTTCAGATTTTACTTGTTTTTCCTCTAATACCCTTCCTTGGTGCCAGGACCCAATCTCATGTTCCCTTATTCTCCTCTGCAGTGTGAGTTCTAGGTCTTTCCTTGCTTCTCATGGTCTTGGTTGTATTAGACCTCTTAATATAGAGGCGGATTTCTTAGACACTGAGAGACTGATGTCAAAGGCAGGGAAAAGTGAAGTAAGGATAATGTCCAGGACCTCGAACTGTGGATGATCCGGGCCAAGGGCTGCAGCTCTGAATGTAGTCTACAATCTGAAGAGCTGAGTATGTGGTCTGCATTCCACTTGGCAGCCCTTGGCAGAGTAGAGTACTCATGGCTCAGTTTGATTTTTGTCATTCTGAAGAAGAAATAAATTTTCTTTTCAACATTCACACAACCATTACTGACTTAACTCCAATATCTAACATGGCTGATTTAGAAGCCGGGAATGGTTACTTCTCATCCCTTGAGAATTCTGCCAGTTAATGAGAGTCTCTTGAAGGTTTTTAAAAAAAAAAAAAAAAGGCATGAAAATTTACCTAATGAACAAAAACAGGGCCGATATTTTATACAAGCTAAAGAAGCACCAATTTTACCTCCAGCGTCCACCATGAAACGGGAGAGATGTCAGTGCTCTGAGATCTTTGGCATGAAGGCCTTTCAGACACTTAGCATACCAACAATGCGCTTCGCCCTTCGCCAACTACCCATATGTTCAACATAATAAATAGGTGGTAGATGGATACCCTCCAGCAACCACCCAAGTCTAGCAGTCTAAAAATACCAGCACCAGCATGAAAGGCAGAGTGCATCCTCCTGGGCTGAAGCTACTACTATGGCTTGTAATAAACAATCCATCCAGCTGAGTCTTTGCAGAAAGGTGCTGGAGTTCAGGGAGATTCTGCCTTTATGTGCGAACAATGGGCTGCGCTCTCCCAGCTGGCAAGTTAGCACTGTCAGTATCTGGGGTGTTGTCTTCCTGTCCTCCTCCTGGAAGGCATTTTTATCTTGCAGTCATGGTTTCACATCAGTATGAAAAAAATAAGCCAATTCTGACCCACAACAACTTTATTTCCTTAAAGTAATTTACTAAAAGATATGAATAGAAAGTCTATCCATTCACCAACTGTGAATGCCTACCTATTTCTTTTTTTCTGTATCCTTTTTTATTAGTGCATACTGGGATACAGATTTTGTACATGCACAAAACACCCTTCCATCATTTCCACCCCTCCTCAGGTCCCCCATGCTAGACATTTCTAGAGTCACTGGTGTCTGGATGGATCTGCTTCATTTCCAGGAGGGAGGTAATCTGTAACAGGAAGTCATGCAATATTTTGCCGGAAGGCCCCCGTGCTCCAGGAGAGCTGGAATAATGCTGCTGGGAACTAAACCCGAGGCTGATCAGTAGAATATGTGCCACAGCAATGCTTTTGGTGACTCCAAGTGCTGCACTGGAAATGTGTAACCAATCCATGTCTTAAACAAGGGACCTTTAAAGTGGTGTATGATGGGTGAGGAGAAATTAAGTAAAGAAAACAGGATTCCATTTTCCTTTTTGGATAAAAACACAGGCTAAGCTATCAGACTTAGCACTGAGCTCTAATGAACGAATGCAACCCGAGGCATTGCTGTTTCTATCAAGTCAGAGGCCACAAACCAACTGCCCAGTGAACCAGGTGGGGCAAGTGGATTGACAGGGAGGTGCGGACGGGGACCAGGTGGGCAACCCAGCCTGGTAGACTGTGTGCTGCCTCACCAGGGAGCCTACATCAGTGGCAAACATCTGGTGGATTTTCACACGAAATCTCCAGTGGAGCAATCCAAACACGGCTCCAGGCAGATATGGCCACAAGCCACCAATGTCCGGCAGGAGGGAAAGGGTCACAACCTGCTCTGCTTCCTTTCTCTTGGATCTGCAGGCTTTTAGCAGGTGTTCACGCTAAAAGCAGGAGCGACAGGGATGCGCATTCTCGAGGTTAAACAGCACAGGGATTTCAAGGGAAATCTTTTATGATCAAGGGGGGAAAAAAGATCCAAAAAAGTTAAAACTAACCCAAAATATATATAATATATAAAAAAAAATATAAAATATATATAATATATAAAAACACCCAAAATAACAATTCAGTTATTAACTAACAGGCTGCCAAAATGTCTTAGGGATCAGAATCAAGTTGCTTTAATGAAATTAAATGTAATAATACCTATTTCCTACAGCAATTTAGAGTTTTACATAATTTTCATGTTCATTTTTCTACTTGATCTTCACATCTTCACTTTTCAGATAATGCCATGGCAGCACAAAGCAGCCAAATGACTTGCCCAGGGCTCCAGAACCCGTCATCGGCAGACAGAAAGAAAACTGCATCAGAAGCGTCTGAATTTTTATATAACTCTTCACGCAGCACACAGCTGCCCAGGGCTATCTACTTTATAGACACCTGGTACATACTTTGTCTCCTTCCTTCCATTAGCAATGTTCTGATATTATAGTACACAACGATCAGAGAGGTTATAATGGGCAATGTAATGCAGTACTTCTCAACTGGTCTTTACTTCCATTTTGTTCGCATGTGTAACGCATTCTCAGGAGGAGCATTCCCTAAATAGTTTCTTGTGCACAAGGAAGGAGGAGAGGCACAGGCGGTGGAGAGCCAGTGTAGACAGATTTGCAGCCTTGAAGCAGTCGCCTCCACGCAGTTCCTGACCCAGGGCTAAGCCTCAGCAGAGTACCAACTTGTTCCAATCCATACAGTTACAAAGCGGCAAAGCCACTCTAGAACTCAACCTCTAACATACACACAAGGCAAGGGAAGGAAATCTAGTGTCTCAAATATTCCCAAAGACAGCCTTGGGGCTGCTTGTTTGTAGTTGTTCAGTGGCTTCTCTGGGACCCCAGATGCAGTTTCTCTTACCTCCCATCCTTCCATTTCCAGTCCTCTCTTCCCATATATGTCATAGATGGCCCTGGTTTGGGGGTCACTAAGCACTGGAATTAAAAAAAAAATCAAACATTACCAAGTACAAAACTCACCTTTCAGTCCTCTCTGAAAGCACTGGCAACAATGTCACTAGGCAAATTCATCTTGCTCTTCTTCCTCCCATCACAATCTTCTGGGAGGTTCCCTTCCTTTCCCCCAAGACCTCCCTCCTAACTGCTCTTGGGCTCCAAGCCAAGCTGTGTTTAAAGGTGGCCACAAGTGGGCAGAACCGATTCCCCCAGGGACCAGGCTCCTAGCTGTGTGCACTGTGAACAGGGTGCACCACCTGGAAACTGCACTGGCTCTTTCGTCACTAAAGGGCGCCTGTTTTTAAAACAATTAGGTTGGTTTCTGCACAGCATATAATGTACACAGTCTTGACAGTTGATTCTAGTTTTTATTTTTTTGGTGTTTTGAGACAGTGTCTCATTATGTAGTTCAAGCTGGCCTTGAACTGGCTATGTATCCTAGGCTGGCCTCAAAACCACAGCAATCCTCTTGCCTCAGCCTCCCAAGTGCTGGGATCTCAGGTGTGTGCACCACACCCAGCTGATTCTAGTTTTTAGCACAAAATGTGACTTATTAGAGTGTTACTAATACCTAAGGCAGCCTACATCCTGTGTGTGTGTGTGTGTGTGTGTGTGTGTGTGAGAGAGAGTGTGTGTGTGTATGTACAGCCTCCTCTTTATTTGCAAATCATTTAAAAATGAGGGCCAGGGATTTAGCTCAGTGGTTCCGGTGCCTGCCTCGCAAGCGCAAGGTCCCGAGTTCGATCCCCAGTACCAAAAACAAAAAACAACCACAAAAAAACCCTTGTCCGTCATTTAAAAATGAATAGGGCCAGGGATTTAGCTGTGGTTTCGCTGCCTGCTACGCAACCACAAGGACCCGAGTTCGATCCCCAGTACCAAAAAACCCCAAAATACATGAATACCTCCCAGAAGGTTGTTGGCCATATCACCTAAAATACCTAAGGAAAAGACTTCCTGGCAAGGACAGGAGCTATCCAAAGGCTATGCAAACTGAGCCTGACCATCAGTGAAGAGTCGGCGACAGTCATTCTCTCTCCCCTGCTCTGCTGGGTTCTCTCTACTCAGGACCTCTGCATCTTCCCCTGAGAGTTCCCATAGATTTTTAGGCCTAATTAAAAGATGACACAAATGAGCCTATCCATACTCAAATCCAGTGGGGAAAGGAAACACTGACCACTGGAAAACATGGGAACCAAACTGTGTGAGTTCACCCCTAAGATTCAGTAAGAAAACAGCTATTCACTACTTTACTTTTGTCTTCGTTTAAGCGTAATTCTGGGGCCAGGGCTGCTGCGGCTGCATTTTCATAAGCACAGGTAGGTTTCCCTGCTAGCTGTCCCCAAATCTCCAAATCAACACATAACCTATGCGGATAAATTTAGACAGCAGTAAAACTAATGCAGCCTTTGGACAACGGACTATAATAAAAGAACAGGCTTTGGATCACAACCCCATAAATGGTGTGAACAGAGTTAAATTTGGTAATGAGACAACACGAGGGGCTCACATTTATCACGCACCTCGGCCTGATTCTCAGTGTAATTAACATCTGAGTTCTCGGTAAAGCTGTAACGTGAAACACGCCGTCAGGTCTACAGTGAGAAGTCTGTTATCATGTAAAGAAATGCATTATTATCTAGCTTTGGTCTCAAGCAGCAAATCACCAGATGGTTCTGGAATGAACAACTTCTCTTACTTGATATATAGCCTAAGAGTGAGCTCATATATTTGTTGTTTTAAATTTTTAAATTGTGGTGAAATAACTTTCCATTTCAAAGTGTATAATTCAGCAGCATGAAGCATTTACAAGGCTGTGTAACTGTCATCACTTTCTATTTCTAGAACTTTTCATCATCCCCAAAAGATAAACTGTATCTATTAGTAACTTTAATATTTTATAAACAAATAAATCACAATTTTTCTTTCTGATATACGTAAGATATACCTAAAAATCTTAATTAATTGGTCCTATTTCCTATTAACCATCTTTTAACATTACTTTCTTTCTTTTGTTAGAATCTTTCTTTAACCAAATGCTACAGAAACAATGAAATTGTCTTCAGATGAGAACATGTCCTTGTAGCATGTCACAAAAGAGAGAACAAAGAAAGCTTCTCTGTAACGATCAGCCTTTTCCTTCTCTGAGTTCCCTTTAGAAGAAAGTGGTAAACGATTTAAACTTGAGCATCCCCTGCAGCCCAGACCCGGCGCGTTACTTCACCTGGACTTTCATTTTCTACTTACTGGAGACACATTGATTTCCAAAGCAAAATGCTACTCTTTCAAAGGGCCCTGTCAGTACAAACTACTAAACTAACCACCTCTTTTATACACCTCTAAGGACTCTCTTTTTCTATCCTCTACAAATCAAGTCTCTTAAAAATTGAGCATCTGCTACCAGCATGTTTTGGAGAAGCCAAGCCCTGCGCTGACCTTCATAAGCCTGGTGAACAAGGTTAAACAGTCGTTCTGCTTGTGATTTGAGCTCTGGGTCTCTGTGCTTGTCTGGATGGTAAAGCATACACAGCCTCCGGTAGGCAGCTTTTAGCTCTTCAGACGAGGCCTAAAGAAAGAAAAATTCAATTAGAGCGCAATCAATGGTACTTAAACATTATCATGATCAGAATCAGCCTTGAAATGGGAACCTGTCAGCCACATTCCAACATGTTTGCTCTCCCCATCCAGGATATAATGAAGTTATGCTTTATTACCTCAATGAGGCTTCTTTTTTCCACAGTTAATAAAGTGATCAATTATGTACATCAATAGCGACTATTTTGCTGGGGAACACTGCGATCAGATGGAATGAGGGCCTCTGCGTCTATATGGGCTCACTGTGTCTGAGCTGGAGCTAAAACGCCACAGGGACCCGCTTCCTCTTAACCCAAGTTATCGGACATAAATCACACCTGGGAATATGTTCGGAAGGACAAAAGCTGCATGCCATTATACAGAAACAACAGCCACCGCATCAGTTTTTGACAAAGGCTTAAATCATACTAATTCTAGAAAACCAAAGACAAAATGGTAAAAGCAACACATGCCCCTCATTCAACCTCTGATTCTAAAAGTGGCAAACATGCTTTACTAACCTGACCCAAAGGCTCCTGCCCAACACAAAACTCCCTCCTGGGGCCCACCAGAGGGAGTACGTGGCATGCTAACCAGGTGACGCCAGGGCTCTTGGTGTCAGCCACAGATCGCAGGCCAGGAGGGCCACGTGACCGTCCTCTCCTTGGCCTCCTCGCTGACTCCGAGGTTTTGCCTACTCAGCCCCTGGGGTCTGTGTGGGGAACCCCATGTCTGACCCCGGTGAGCACTCTGGGCTGCCGAAAGTGCTCCTGCTGTGGAAAGGGCAGATGTAAACAGCAGTCCATTTGGGGGGCCAGCCCCAGCGTTCTGATGACTGCTACATATACATATATGTGGGTCACTGAGATATCAGCCATCTGGGTGGAAGAACAGGCCCAGGTCCTCAGTGAGGCCACCGGGACCTGGCAGTGCACTAGAGCAGGTCACAGGGAAAATGAGCCCAGGGACCAAGGTTGCAAAGGAAAACACTACACGGTATTTCTTTATAATTTCCACAAATTTTCAGAATCTTTCATTTCCAGAACTAATGAATTTCATGCTTTTTTTTTTTTGTACTGGTGATCGAACTCGGGACCTTGAGCTTGCAAGGCAGGGGCCGGAACCACTGAGCCAAATCCCCGGCCCTCCAGAACTAATGAATTATTTTTACCCTCCCTTCTCCCCCACAAAAAAACTACTGGGCTTTAGTTATAGTTTTTGGCACGAAACAGACATATTTTCTACAGCACCATGTCATTCAGATACTAGGGACCCAAGAAATGTGCATGAGTTTAGCTGAAGTTCTCAGGACAAATTCTGAAGATTGCAAAGAGGGAGATGGTAAATGGGACCCCAAGACACTCAGAGGACAAGTAGTCCGTCTGTCCCCTGTGCCCAAGCGGAGAGGCAGCAGTAGGGGTCGGGCTCCGTGCCCTGCCACCTCCCTGCCGTGTGGGCCCATTCCTGTCTGAGCCCCGACCTGCTGGGCCTGTTACTCAGAAGAGCTGGGGTGAGACGCCGCCAGGCAGGCTGTCCTTCACGCTGCTTTCAATCAGAAGCTCCGTGAAGGTTCCCATTAGCTGCCCATCGGGAAGGGTCAAGGGTCCTGAGATGGAGCATCCACCCGAGCCTCCAAAAATGAGCAGACTCCTGCCCCTCCCACCACGGTCGCTTCTCCTGGGTGGCCTTTGGGAACAATGCCATTAAACAGTTTGTAGTTGGCTGCCTCTCCCTCCCTCTCCACTTGGTTATCTGTGTGATTTACTCCACACGATGACTTTCCATTTCACTGGTTGAGAACGTGGACTCTGGAGTCAAATGGCCTGTGTTTGGGTATCAGATCTGTCACTTCTGAGCTTGTGACTCTGGGCAAGTGGGCTTTCTGACCTTTAGCTTTCTCACCTGAAATGGGATAATACACCTCCCAGGGACTGTGTGGGAATGAAATGACCGGTGATTTGAAAGTGCTTCAGATGCAGCAAAAACTTAGAAATTGCAGCCTTTTCTTGTTCTTTTTTGAGACAGGGTCTCACTATGCAGTCCAGGCTGGCCTCAAACTTGGCCCAGTACTCCTGCCTCAGCCTCTTGAACACTAGATTACAGGTGAGTGCCATCGCCTGCTGTAGCTCTTTACAACCCTTTTGTCTCCTCATCCGGATGAGAGCATTCTGCCTCACTGCAAGGCAGAAGGCAGCGAATGCACATCCAAGGCAGCCACCCCTGGCACGCAGCAGGAACGGAACTACTTCCAGTACCATCACTGTCCCAGTTCAGCTCCACTAGCTGACACTGTGGCCTGGTAACAGCAGTCTCCACAGGTGGCAGTCCTGCTTGGGAAAACTCACTGAGCTGGGTGCTCAGGAGATGGGTGCTTTTCTGTCCACAATTCTGTATCATGAAAAGCACAAAGGCTCCCTGAGACTCGGGCTTCTGGATTTTGGTCTCCACATTCTTTCCTCTTCCTTCCTCTTATCTCAGGCACCTTCGGGACCAACACTAACGACAGAGGACCTTTCCTGCCTCACTTCCCAACACGCTACCAGTATCAAACCCTGGTGTCTTAGGTATAAATAACACCAAATAACGGGAGAATAAAGCATGCTTTCTCCTGGAAGGTTTATTCATGTGACGATGTAAAAGGAGCTTGCTTTTTCCTACACAACCTTTACAAATTATTTTCTTCCTGGAAATTTTAATTATTCTTTCCTGTAGCTTATAAAAGTTACAAGGTTAAAATGCTCTTTCCTGGGTACTAGAATTAAAGCAGATGACAAAGAAGCAGAATAGCTAGCCTCCAAGACCTCTTTTAATCATATTAATAAATAGCTTACTGTGCTATTGATTAAGTAATGGAAATGAGAAGTTTCATTTTTAATAAATATCACATTCAATAAAAGGTTAGATTGGGCCTTTCATCATGACTGAATAGCTAAGGTCACTGGTTCGATATTTCATAAATGATAACCTTTTTCACTATCATAAAAATATCGGTATCATTTCAAAATGTAATGAGATATCATTAAAAATGATACCTAAAGTTACATACTTATTTCTAAATTTCTACAGTAAAATTAAGAGATGTATCAAGCTTTAAGTCTGAAAAGTTCTATCACCTTAATCATCCAGTTATATGTTCACTGGACAGACGACTATGTGGGAGGTCACAAATTAAGTCTCTACAGATTTTGAAAGACCAACATCATACAAAGTACCAGGCCTGGCACAGGCATGAAGTTAGAAATCAATTACAAAAGGAAGACTGGAAAATGCATATATTTGTGGAAATTAAACAACACACTCTTTTTTTTTTTTTTTTTGGTACCAGGGGATCAAACTTGGGACCTTGCGCTTGCAAGGCAGGCGCCAGAACCACTGAGCTAAATCCCCCGCCCAAACAACACACTCTTCAATGGATCCAAGAAGAAATCAATAAGAGAAATTAGAAAATACACAGATAAATGGAAAAGTCAAAATAGCAAAACTTACGAGATGAAACGAGAGTGACCCCAAGAGAAAGCATGCATGCTGGGGATGCACCTCAGTGGCAGTGCAAGTGGCAGGACACACGCTTAGCATGCACAAGGCCTGGGTCTGACCCCCAGCACCACAAACAGCAGCAACAGCAGGAAGATGTCAAACCACAATCCAGCTTGTCCGCTTAAGGAGTGCTCTGTGGTCTAAATGTGCCCCCAGAGGCGCAGGCAGGGGGAGCCTGGGCCCCAGTGTGGTGCTGTTATGGGGCAGTGAGGCCTGGGGGTGGTGGCAGGGTCACTGGGACCTCGTGCTCTGCCCAGGCTCCCACTGCTGCCCTGCTACTGCCCCAAGGCCTCCACCAGAGTGAGCAGGAGCCAGCACCACGCCCTGGAGCCCCCAAACCGGGACTGAATAAGCCTCTTCATAGAAGGTGCTGTGCTTTGAGTATTTTGCTTAGTAATGGAAGACAGATTAATATCAGGACCTGGAAAAAGAACAAGTACAGTACTTCCTGAGAAGAAGTCACGAAGATACGGAATGCCCAGACAGACCAATGACTGGCATGGAGACTGGATTGCCAGGCAAGAAATCTTCACTGGTGACTCGACCAGACACTTAAAAACAGGGAACTAGGAGCAATTCCCCAACTTCTCCAAAACCTCAAAGCCGAGAGAATGCTTCCAAACTCATTCTCAGGGGCCAGTATTACACCAATCCCAAAGCCAGACAAAGATTCCACAAAAACAGAACCACAGAACAGTATCTGTGAACAGCAATGCAAAAATCCTGAAGAGAACACTAGCAAACAAAGTTTAGCAGCATGATGAAAAATTCTACCCCTGAGCTGGGCGTGGCAGCACACCCCTAGAATCCCAGCACCTAGGAGGGTGAGGCAGGAGGATTGCTGTGAGTTTGAGGCCAGCTTGGGCTACACAGTGAGTTCAAGGCCAGCCTACACTACACTACAAAGTGAGATCCTGTCTCAAAAAACCAAACCAAACCAAACCAAACCAACAAAATTATACCTACAAAAAAGTGGGATTAGTTTTGGAATGCAAGGATAGTTCAACATATGAAAATAAATCAACATAATACATTGTATTAGCAGAATGAAATAAAAAAACCCATATCATGAAACTGCACATTTCAATTGGTACAGGAAAAGCATTTGGCAAAATTCAATTTCCATTCGTGATAAAAACACTCAATAAAAGTAGGAATTGAAGGAACTACCTCAACGTAAAAAAAGGCATATATGAAAAATTCAGTGCCAAAGACTGAAAGGCCTTTTCTAAGATCAGGAACGAGACATGGATGTTTGTTTTTGCCACTTCAGTTGAACAAAGTACTGGAAGTTCCAGCCAGGAGAATTAGGCAAGAAAAAGAAATACAGGCTTCCAAGCTAGAAAGGAAGCAAAACTATCTCTGTTCTCAGATGATACTCCTTGTACACAGAGTACTCTAACCGCCCCCCCCCCCTAGTCTGTTATAACTAAAAAATGGATTTAGCACCGCAGG